GAACCCGGGCGCCGGGGGCCCGCTGCACCCTTCTCACCGCGAGACGCTGGGTATGTTTCTTTGCTTGGAGGGTGCCCAGTTTTCCATCTGAAAAATGTGAGTTTCAAATCTTTTTAAAAAATTTCCTGTACTGGATTCCATGAATTCCGCCCCCCCCCCAAAAAAACACCCAGGAATGTTTGAGAATTAACTAGCTTATGGGGTGGGGGGTGCAGTTAGAATTCAGTGACGCAGGTGACCAAGACTTTTCCTGAGCCGTTTGCTGGAGGCGGGATGTGAAGGGAGGGCATGGAGGACATGGAGCAGGAGGGAAGGGAAGACAGGTGAGGGACAGGCCCTGGGAAGCCTGGGGTGATGGGCACTGGGATAGGGTTAAAGGCACAATCCCTGTCTTAGCCGGTCCTGGACCCCGCGTTCGACTGCAGGACACGGCGGGACATTGTCAGGAGAGTGGGTGACAGTGCCGTGCTCTGCAAGGTGGGGACATGAGAGAGTGAAGGGGAGGCCCACACACAGTTCAGGGTCATCTCTGCATGACTGCCCTGAAGGCACCTCCCCACCCCCTCAGCAGCCGGTCCTGGGAGCTCCCCCCCTCCTCCCCCAGCTGGTCCTGGGAGCTCCCCCTATCCCCCCCCGCCACCCCCCTCCCCAGGCGGTCCTGGGAGCTCCTCCAGCAGCCCAATGGCCTTGGCAATGACAGGTGGGAGGCTGAGGGCCTGGGCTGACTGCTTGGCTCCGGGAAGGCACGGGGAACATACCAGGGATCCTGCCTCTCCTTCCTCCCCACACAATGAGGAAGTGGTGCAGGCCTCCCTGGCCCTCTGAAGGCCGTGCTCTGAGCGTAGAGAGTGTTCTAGAACCTGCAGGTGTGTGCAGAGGAGGGATTTAAGGCCGGGTGGGGCTAGGTTGGCTGGCTTTTGGGCCCTTTCGGACTCCTGAGGCCTTGATCCTGAACTGCGGACAAGGAACAGGATGCAGCACGGTCGTGGCTGGGCTGCACAGGCGGGGACCTGCCCCATCGATTCTCCGCTTTGTCCCCAGGAGACAGGCAAGCTCCGGGGCGGGATCTCTGCGCTTCGGGCAGCGGGAGGACAGTGTTACTCCGCAGTCATCTCAGTCCCTTTCTCACGCCCGCGTAGGAGGGCCCACAGTGTGAACCTCCTACACCATTAGGACAATCGGGAAAGGCACTCGAAACGGCAGTAACTGGCCTGGATTTCCTGCCGGGACATGTTCTCCTGGTGTCACCTGCTTTATCTGCTCATTTCGCAGCCACAACCCAAGGTCATTTTACTATTATTCCCCCATCAGGCAGGAAGGGGCCATCCACATGCCCAAGGTCGCCTAGCTTACGTGTTCTGAGCCAGAACCCGAACCGTATGGAACAAACCGGAGACTTAGCACACGGGGTCTAAATCCCAGGCCCATGGTTCCATGCTGTGTGATCTTAGACAAGTCCCTTACCCTCTCTGAGATTCAGCTTCCTTCACTGAACAATGGGGTTAGGCTGCAGGGACTTTACAATAATAATAATAATGATAATAATAAGAAGAAGAAGAGGAAGAAGAAATACAGTGAGATATTTACCATGAAATCTATGCAACGGAATATTACTCAACCATAAAAAAGAGTGAAATATTGCCTTTGCTACAATATGGATGGACCTAGAGGGTACTATTCTAAGTGAGATAAGTCAGACAGAAAAAGGCAAATAGTGGATGATTTCCCCGGTACGCGGGATCTAGAGAACAAAATGAACAAACAAAACTAAAATGAACTCTTACACACAGAGAACAAACCGATGGTCTCCAGATGGGTGGGGGAGGGAGGAGGTATGAAAACATTCCCCGGTGGGGAAAGTACCGCTTGGGGAACAGAGTCCATCGTAGCACAACGACTGTATATGGTACCAGGGCGATCCCTGCGTAAGCGTTATACATGTGTAACCGCTATGCTGTGCCCCTGAAACTGACATAACAGCGTATGTCAACTGTAACTGAAAAGTAATTTTTTCAAGAGTCCACGTGTGAAGTTTTCCCTGTTTTCCCTTTGCTGGAGCATGAGAGCACGCGGAGAAACGCGCACAGAAGTGGGGGCTGCAGTAGAGGTGCTCTCCCCGGGGCCTTTGGGGGTACAGCAGCCCCTCTGTGCAGCTCTGCCCCGGTGCCCGGGGTCCTGGGCCAGGGCTCAGGAGAGGAGAGGCCCTGAGGCCACGTGACACCCTCAGCCTCTCACACAAACACGCTGCTGCCACCCGGGGTGCCGGGGAGTGGAAACTTTCGCCACCAACAGCATTTGCAGCAACTTCCCTCTCTGTGGTTTTTCTCTGTCATTCCCTTGATAAAAGAACTCGCGCTACGTACGCGTAACCAACATTCACGGATCTCGTCGCCACGTAAAAACAGCCACCTTTCAAGAAGCGAGCTGCCTGGCGCGGGAGGCGCGATGTACCCTAAACTGGGTCACTCTCCCCCCGGCGGGCTGGGCGCGTGGCTGACGCTCCGTGTGTCTCCCCTGTGCCGCAGGCTCCGCGCGTCCTCCGCAGCCCGGGCAGCGAGGGACATGGGGAACAGCATGCGATCCGCCCCGGCGCCGCCCGAGCCCGAGAGGCCTCTGTCCTGCTCAGACGGTAAGTCCAGCTTCCTGGGTGCGATGCTGAACTCTCTCCCGGGGATGCCTGGGGCGAGGACGGGGTGATGGGAGGGTGCGGGTCGTGGTTGAAACAGGACACTGGGTCCCTCGGAGTCCCTTACCCTGTCTCTCTCGCTTTGCTTGTCGTTAATGTTAAATGTTAAAGAGATGGGGTGGGGGCAGCCTGGAGTGGGCCGATTTGCTGGCATCTTCGGGAAGGGCCGGTTCCCTCCCTTTACTCTGCGGGTGGAGAGCACCGAGGTCCACCGAGGGGATAAGAGATGTTTGTGGGTTCAGACGTCCCACCCGGGCTGGTCTGATTCTGACCCAGGCCCTTGCTCACCACACACCCTGCCAGCCCTGCTGTGCTTGGTGGGCATCACGTTGTCATGGGCAAGTGCGTGGTGCCGTAGTGTCGCGCCCTGCCGGGGCTTTCTGGGGGTGACTTTATGGAGTCAGTGCTGGGCCTGGGGATCTTCCTGAGAGCAGAGGGATTCCCCTGTCCTGTCCATAGCATCATCAGGGTCAGGCGCTCTCAGGGGAGGGCACCATGTCACAGGCGAACCGGGGATGACAGAAGCCAGCTTTCCCCAGCGCTGCCTGGTGGGGCCGGGCTCCGAGCGCCACGGCTGAGACTCAGGCCAGCGCCCCTGGGCTCATGGTGCCGGGGCCTCCGGCCGCCGGGCTTTGTTCCCTAGCAGCCAGGGAACAAAGGGAAGGAAAGACAGATGAGGGACGGGCCCTGGGAGAGGGTTAAAGGCACCGTGGTGGGCACAGGGTGCACACTGCCTGGGACCCTGTGTAGAGGAGTTAAGTGCGTTGATGAGGTGCCCGGCCTTGGCACTGCAGGTAATTACCAGTGACCTGCCTCTGCGAGGGACCCTGCCTGGGGGCACACTGTATGCGTCCTCTGTAGTTGGGGAGGGGATGGTCAGGAGGCCAGGCGACCCATCAGCGACCCAGGGTCGGTCACTGGAGACCTCAGGACACTTGCACCTCCCATTTTCCATCTCAGCACTCAGACCTGGCCTCCCGCTGCCCACGGGGCGGCCACACCTGGTTCCCCGTGCCCCCCCTGCATCACGGCACTGGGCAAAGGCCACAGGCACAGGCGCCCACTGGAAGGTCTGCCAAGCCGCAGCCCAACATGAGCGTGGACAGAGCCAGGTCCCTGTCCTGCCTCGGCGTCCTGCTCATCCCATGACTTCCATGGCCCCTTCAAAAGGCAGCCTTCTCGCTTCTTCCACGTTCTACACGGTTCCCTGGCTCCCCAGGCATCCCTGCCCATGGAGACCCTGCTCCCCACTCAGTCAGATGCAGGCCGTTCTGGGGGCCCTCCTTTCTAGCCAGGTGATTGCCCCCCCCACCCCCCAACCTAAGAGGGGAAAAGCAACGTCCCTGGGACAAAGCTGGGACCACGTGACAGGGCGGAGCAGAGTGTGTGCACCGGTCCCAGCAGCGGGCCTCCCTCCCATGCGGAGCTCAGGGCCGGGCAGGCTGCGGCGTCCACTGCTGCTGGGAAAGCCAGGTTCCTCCTCCTGACTTCCTCCCAGGTCACGGCCACTTCCAGAGAACAGCCACTGTCATGCAGAGGCCCCGGCCAGCCCAGGAGGCACCCCCTCCCATCCATCTGTGGTGTCACCTCGCACCCTGGGGCCAAGGGGCCGCACGCTTGAGCAAAGCCCATGAAAACAGGGGCCTCCCAAGACGGGCTCATTTGCCTTCATTTCTGAAATGCAAATCGCCATGAAATCAGTTTCTCTTTTTCCACCGTGTGGGTGGGTGGTCGCCTCCAGAAAGGAGGCGCAGGGGTCTCCCCAGCCCTCCACCCCTGGGTAGAGAATTCCCCAGGTCGCGCCCAGTTTGTAACCCAGGCAACCACATCAAGGGCTAGGGGGTGGCTTTTCCACCCCACACCCCTGAAAAGTCCCCCTGCGAGCGCCCCGGCTTGATTTCCTCTTTTCTCTGACACCTCTGAGGACAGGGCGGGGAAGGGGTGCGTGAGGCTGCACTCATTAGTGCTCGCCCAGATGAAGCCAAGGGCGCGGGCTTTCATGGAACACGCACCTACTCACACTCAGGCTGACTCATTCGGGGAGGCTCGGAGGCCGGAGGGGGCGCGGGGGCTGCCCTGCTGTGAGCCCGAGGGGTGGAGAGTTAAGCACCGAAGACCCCACAGGAGGCCGACCCGTGGGCTTGCAGACAAAGGCGTTTGCTGAGCTTTCAGGAGCTCATGCTTCCCCCAGGCCAGGCTGGCTTTGCCCCTCTGCTTTCTCCTGCCCGAAGCTTCACAGGCCATTCCCGACTCCCCTGGTTCCCAGAGAGAAAGCCACAGGGTCACAGAGGCAGCAGAACTGATGGAAGTCAGGCCGGACTCGGAGGCTGATGACCTCACTGAGCTTCTGGCATTGTCTCACCC